GTATAGTTGAGAGAGTTTAGTTTGTATATTTTTTTGAATAGGTATAATTTGTAAGAGATATTCTAAAGAGGGTTGAAATATAAGGTTAAAAAGAGAGGATATTTGGGAGAGTAGTAATTTTTTATATCTAATCAGAAGTAAAAAGTTTTCTATTTTGTTGTATTGTATATCTAAAGTTGGTTTAGTTGATCCTTTACTATTATAAAAGATATCTAGATATTTGATTATATCTTCAGAATTTCTGGGAGCAATTGTTTGATTGTCATAGAAAAATATTTGATTTGGTGTTTTAGAGTTTTTAGAAGAAATGTGAAGTAAGTTAGACTTGGTTGGGTTAACTTCAATATTGTTAGATTTGTATAGCAGAAGCATCATTAAGAATGTTTTGTAAAGTCTTAGAATGTTTGCAGTGCTACACTGTATCATCCATATATGCTAGTGATGGAATTGTAATTGTAGTTAGGGATGTGTGTGAGATTATTTCAAGTGAAAAAGAGGAAGAAATTTTAAGAAAGTGGTTAATGTATTTTTGAGATATGTAGGTAAAAATAGGATCATAATAGATCTTCCATAGAAGAGGAGAGTAGATTTCTTCTTGTTCAATACCAGATTTAATATGTATTGGTGATGTTAGGTTGTGAGCTATTATTACTCTAGCTAGACAAGATGTATATAGCTTAGTTATTAGATTGATTCCTGAGTTAGGAATGCCAATTCTACAACATGCATCTTGTAAGCACTAAATATTGATTCTATATAAAAATCCTTACAAACAACCTTCCAACAATGCAAAATCTTAATATTCATTATCCAAATCTATATACAACAAATAAATATTGTAAATGTCCCTTAATTAAAGACTCTCTTTATATACTCTTGTGTTCTAAAAATACTGAAAATATCCAACAATCACTTATTAATATAACTACCAATATGCTTTAACAACTTCAACTTACATCTTATCCAACCTACTTTACTTTTTAATATGCTTTCACTATCAACAACCAACTCTTCTAATATACAATACTTTTTTGTTATTTAATGGATATCTGTGGATATGGGATATTCTATAGAATAATAGTAAAATCACATGGCCTTTTGCCACGTGGCTTACTGTTATTCTATGGAATATCCCATATCTACAGATATTTATTAAATAACTAGATTATTTTATGGGTATGACGTAACAATCTTGTACAACTATGTAATCAAATAAACTTCCTTTATTAATAAATTAGACTTTCTTTATTAGTAAGCAATTTTGAATCGATCAACTTTTAACCTTATCGATCTTTTTTTTTAATAAAAAAAATGTGCAAAAGGAACCGCACTAATGCACCTACTGATGAAAAAGTGCTTGAATTGCAACAAATCTCTCATGTAGATAATACTGACAAGTGCACTTTAAAGTGGCTGCATGCAGTTGACAGATTTTAAGTAACTATCAAGTATGACAAAGGTATTGAAAAAATTGAAACGGCAACAGAATTGGAAAACTTTCTTTGCAGGTTCCTTACTTGGTTGAAATATTTGGATAGCAAAGACTAGAAAGCAGAGAGTATACATAATAGCTATGCTTCTATAGCTTGATACTTAAAAAAAAAAGTGAAATTAAGCCATGAAAGTTGTGAGATTCTTACCATTTTGGAAAAGCATTAAGAACACTTGATGGTAAGATGAAGAAACTTCAGAATGCAAGTTTGGGAGAAATGGATCAGGCATCTGCATTAAGTGCTAAAGAGATTGTTCAAATTCTTGACTATGATAAAATGCAAACTGATACTAATGAAGGTTTGGTGAGACGAGTATTTTTTTGGCTATTGCATCTTTGTGGTCTTCATAGTGGTGAAGCTGAAAAAATAAACTTTAAGGTCATATCATGCCATAATGATAGTGGACTTTATCTGATGTTTAATCATAAGAAGTATAATCAATGTGGGGTGTTAAAATGCAATAAACATAGAAAAAGCTCTGCATGAAAGATTCCTATTTTGCCTGATAATGCCAATAATCATTTTAAACCTATACAAGACATATTGCATATGATATCATTGCATTCTGTTGTGCTTGTGCATTACTCTTTTTAGAAGCTACATGAGTATCAAAGAGTTTAAAACATTTATGGATTTGAATTTTTTTTTTTTTATCTATTATGTTACTAATGCTTTTGTTTTGTTTTGCTAGATATAAATAAAGTAATTTGGTTCAAAAAAACCCAGATGGGTATAAACAAGTTAAACACGATGATGATAAAAATAGCAGAACTCATAGGCATTAATCTCGATAATGGTCATAAGATCAGTAACCATTCTCTTCGACATACGGCAATTCAAAGGTTAAAAGATTTGGAAGTTCCAGAAGATGAATATATAGAATTCTCTGGGCATTGTAGCAGAGAAAGAATTTGGGCATATAGTAGCACAAACAAAATTCAAAACTTAGAAATACGTCAACGCTAATCTCTCTGGATTGTGACAATATTCCATACAAAAAATTTAATTATTTTCTTGGGAATGCCAAGAATTACTTGGATTTTAAAGAGGATGACAATGATGAAGATATTTGTAAATTTTATTGTTTAATTATTTACATATTTATTTTTTGACATTTTTTGATTTTACTATTTTACTATTAGAAGGATCTCCAGGACCACTACCAGAGGCACCACAAGGACCACCACCAGAGGCACCACCTGAATCACCACCTGAAGCACCACCTGAAGTATTACCTGAACTATTGTCACAACTATCATTAAGCTAATCGATGAAACGATTACAAAGACAATTGCTAAAACTATTATATACGTTGAAATTGTATGCACTGTTCAAACTACCTTTCAAAAGGTAATATTCAATCTGAGATTTCAAAGGCATCTAATATTTAAAAACTATCACGTATTTCTTAGCTTTTGTTGTTGGGACCTCCTGCACAACCAAGATCACATTTGGGCGATATTTCTAATTATATTATACTCATAACTTATGATAACATTAGAGATAATGAAAGTAAAATGAACAATAGAGAAGTTCATTACCATTTCCACTACCATTTTTTAAAAAAAATGTTTTTTTTAAAATGTATTTTTTTTAAAAAAAAAATTGTAATTTTTATTTTATTGAAATAAATAATGCATTGTACAATATATTTGCAATTTTAAAAAAATCGGGCCTCATAAAATATTTATTACAAAATTATTTTCAGTAGTCTATATGAAATCATGATTTTTGTATAAACCAGTAAAAATAATCTAGAAGAAAAAGCATGGGTTGTTACATAGTACTCATGGAATAAAGCTCTCTTATTTCTATTATTCTTGGTATATATCCAAGATTAATATATCAAAATATTAAAACCTTAACAAAAAAACAAACAGAACATATACTTATTAAACTTTCTAATAATCTCTTACACTGGTTCTTTCATGAAATATTGTTTAAACATAACTTCTTTCAACATCAATAGGAAATAGCCCAAAATATTAAACCTAAAACTAAATATAGCAAATTTTCAACTCCTTTACTTACTAACCAAACAAATGTTTATAGATCTTACTCACAATTAATAGACCTAATATCTACAAGGTTATTCTCTAACAACATGCTTTTTATAATATTATGATTTACACCTTAAGGTTTTCTCCAACCTTTTCTAACTAGAATTACTTTATTCATTTAAATTAATAATAGCATTAAATGGGGTGTAATATCACATTGGGTGCTTTGTAGCACAAGTGTAGTTAAAAATCTTTATATAGAAATTTTTCTAAAACCATACCTTCTGGTTATTAGCTAGTTCTGAGTTGAAGGAATTCAGCAGCCTGGTCAAATGACTTATCTGTTCTCTTATCCAAATCTTTCTAATAACAAGAAGACTATTAATCTCTGAATTAATTCAGGTTTATTGTAATAAAGTTTCTATTATGACATTATATTCAATAAAAAATAAAAAATAAAAAAATAATTTACTTTATACAATTAGTACCAAATATTACTATTAGATAAAAAATCAATTGCAAATATTAATTTAATTTAGCTTAATAGTTAACTTAATTTAGAATTTTATAATCTTTTAAACTATCAAGTTTAGCATATAAATTTGTGTACTAAAATATTTTAAAGAAAATTAAGTTTTAAAAAAAATTTTTTCATAAAACTTTTATTTTAATTGGTTATAAAAATTTTTTAAAACCTGTATTATATAGTATACTTGTAGCTATAGTAAAAATACTCTATATAACCTAATTAGAAAATATAAATTTATATTAGTTAAAAAATATACTATTTTATTTAAATGTTTGAGTTATTGTATTTTTTTAATATTAATTTAAAAATTAATTATATAAAGTTGATCATGAAATATTTTTAATCAACATTAATGTTATATTATAAAAGAGACTTCTATATAGTGATTGTAAAAAATCTTATAAATATTATATAAAAGTACATTTTTTAGTATTAAATTTGGGCACAAAGATCCTATTATAGTTAATACTAAATAATCAATTTTTGAAATATTAATAAAAAAAAATTTTAAAATAGAATTATATAGTAATCAGAATATAGTATACTTTTGTTTTAGTTTAGAAAATAAAAAATTATCCCTTAAACCATATTCCAGACAAATTTGCCTGAAATTTTAAAAAGTATTTATAATTTTTTAAATAAAATTAA